AGTTGACTTGTATTTCTGTGAGGGTCATGGAATATAGTTGGTCATAGTTCCTCTTATAACAGCTTTTTTAAGCACTGGAAAATGTGATGTCACCATCCATCTCCTTCCTCTAGACTAATTGGACTCGATCAGGCTTTTTGTGAGAAGATTCTTTCTTTTCCTTTATGCATTCTGCTTCCCTTTTGGCCTGAGTTTGCGTGTGTAGGGAGCACTGTAGTAAGCACAATGTTTCAACTAAGAGTTGGCAGTTTGAAGTACAGCAGAATGATCACCTCCCTGATTCTTCTTTTAGGCATAAAATAGAATGTGCTTTGTCTTTTCACTTTGTCATTGTCTCACACCTACTTTGTATTCCACTATAACAGCTGCATCTTTTTCCACTGTACAGCTTGCCTAGTCATTATTAAAAATGGAGTTTTACAAACTTATGAATTGAAGCTTTCCTACATTTTATTTTTTCCTTTAGTCTTACAAGCTTCTGAGCATCTCTCCAATGCATCAGTCACTTTGAAGTCTGATGCTGTCTTCTGAAGTGCTTATCAATTCAATACTGTAGCTGATTTAAAAAGGAATCTCTTTTCTGTTATTTTGATTGGTTGTATCTTATACTTCCATTAGGTGTAGTGCACAGCCATACAGTATTCTATAAGAAATAGCTTCACAGTTTGATACCAAATGTTAGCTGATAAGTAAGGGTGATTTTGCAGTTATGTGTGTAATGGTAGCTGTTTATCCCACACACTCTTTGCCTCACCATTAGCAATGTGATGTGATGCAGTGCTAGAAGGTTTGTAGTGGATTTTGTACTTACCGCATATCTAGCAACTCAAAGATCTTATCTTTAAAAAAGAAGACAAAATAAGGTTGCTTTAGTGTGCTGTGTGTTTATCAATGTTTTTGATTTCTGATCTCTTCTAGATAGCTTTATTGTTTGTCTAAAAGAATGACTAATATCTCAGGTTTTATTTTCATAAAGTTTCATTTCTGAATCTACAGTTACTCCTTTTCTATTTGAAAAACACATGCCAAGAAAATTTTTTTTCCTCTCTGATTGTTGTGTATTTGTAAAAATAATTACCGACAGTAGGGAGACTTCTTTAGTTAGTTCTTCTAGACACTCTTGACTGAATATATAAAATGTCCAATTTTGTGTATCTTGAAGCAAAAGACCTGAAGTGTGAGGTCCCATTGTCATAATTTCATAACTATCTTCCTGTATGTGTTAATGTCAACGTAAGTAAAACAAAACTTCTGTTTCATTGATTTGCAAATTTCTTGTAAGTAAAATGGAGAAGTTGAAACACCTGTAGTTACATTGATTTTATTGAAATGACTAATCTGCTTCCTTTATTATTCATAGTAGCATCCTTTCTTTTAGGAGAGAGAAATATTTTGCAAGTTATGATGTATCAAAGACATGAATAGTATTACTAACACATGGGAAGCCGAAGATAACGTCTGTTACCAGAGAATATAAGATAAAAATCCATTGCATTTTTGGGTGCCCTGATTAACCATGATCTATGCTCTGAAACTGTGTGTTTTGAAAGTTCCTTAGTTTTATTCTTGAGCTCCTAAAAGCTCAGGTTCCACTCCTTCTTAGCAAGGTTTAGGTTGTTCCATTATTTTGTGTACTCTTTAGAGTTCTTATCACTTCACAATGGTAAAAATAAAAATGAATTCTGGTGGCAGGGAGTGCGTGTGGGTAACTTCAGTAGTGAGTGGTAAGAGTTCAGCTTGAGAAATTAGTTGAAGAAGCTAAGTGGAGAGATTTCAAAACAAAATTAATTTAGAAAATACCTCCAATTAGGACTGTAGTTGTTTATGCTTTATTGTATCCAGGTTTGCCTTTGTATTGATAGGTGGGCTCTTCCTTTGCTAATTGCTTTCCAGGTGCATTGTTTGGCTCCTTCTTTTGTTAACAATTTTACTTCAATGTATCATAATATATACAATTATCATTGTTCTATAGGCTGTTGATTGGTGGAGTGTTGGTGTTCTTATGTATGAATTATTAACTGGAGCATCACCATTTACAGTTGATGGAGAGAAGAATTCTCAAGCAGAGATTTCTAGGTAAGATTCAAAACAGTAAAATATACATGTTTGCTCACAGTGATGCTTGTGCCAGAATATATGTGTTGTGGGAGTTTTAATCTAAATTCAAGAAGAAAGTTCTGCAAGCCTAACGTTTTAGGTGCTCCTGTTTTGTTTAACAGAATGACATCTAGAAGCATATAGGTTTTATTAACCTCAGCAGGTTTTTGAAATAATAGAACTTTCATTTAAACTGCAGTGGAACCACAGCTGTGTAGATACTCAGCACTGTTGCATGTTTACTGTTGAAAAGGAAGACAAATGAAATATTAAATTATATCTAAATATAATTATCACATTCAAGATCTTGATACGTAATGAAATGTGTATTTAGCTGGTGAGATTTTTGTCAGCTCTTGCTAGATCTCTCCATCAGGCTGCAGATTTAAACTGTCAGGAGGTAATCTAGTACCACCTTTTTGTCACATTTATTGTTTATTTTATTAATGTATAACGTGAAACCTATCAGAGAATAAATGAATGTGTTACATATGGAAATGAGATATCCTATACCATTCTTACATGTAAACTTTTCCCGATTATCAGCTTTGGTATGTTCAGTAATCCTTACACTTTAAAGGCTTGTTTTCAATGCCCATGAGAAAACACTGGAGCATTTTAAAAGACAAAGCAGTAAGCTTGCCCAAAACACATTACTGAAATCTGCCCCAAAAATGAGCGTTTCCCATTACTGGATTTCTCTTGGAGTGGAGAGCTGAGGGCTTGAATTGCACAAATAATTTACTGCTATCAGGATCAGCTTTTAAGTCCAGTCCCCAGACTAAGAATAGTCTTGCTCCTACTGGAATATATTACTATGGTTATGACCGTCACCTGAAGTCACTTGATACTTAAGGTTATAATGGGAAACAAAACATGCATCAATTATTTAAATAATTTATTTTACTTCTCTTACAAATTTTGCAACTTCTTGGAAGGCTGCAATCTGTTTATTGGTTTCTAGGTCTCTACAAGAACAGGAAACTCAAGAGGGCCACTGGAAAAAATGGAGTTGGGGAGGTGAATCAATTAAAACAAAATTCAGGACTTCACCTTTTTGGTTACTGCGATGGAGTTATAACTTGAAATTAATTCTTTCTAACATATTTAGGGTTAGAAATTTTACTGATTGCTTACTTGGTTCCTGAGATTTACTAAATGGAACTCTGAAGGAGTTCCAAATTTTTTAGAAAGAATCTTGACCCGAGTTTCACAGATCTTACTCTTCCCCAAAACTGGGTAACTCTTCAGAGATGTATTCTGCAGGATTGGACTGTCTTTTGGTAGGTCCTTATGTGCTTTTTAGTATCTTAATCTTTCTGATAATTTAAGATTAAATTCAAAGCTGAGAAACTGCAAGGTTATCAGCATCTATCCTCTGATGTCTAATAACCTAATTTCTGATCTAAATTTAGTTGTAGCAAATTTACTCTTTTGTTGCTGAGTATGCTTTTGTTCTGGTCAGTGTTCATGCTACACATTTCTAGATAGCAATCCTGTAGTCTTTCAGCTTTTATTTTGATAAATTCAGAAGGTAAATTCTTACAATTTCCTTTATTTAAAGATGTTCCCCAGTCTTCCTGTTTCTGAAAAAGCCTTTTCTTAAGTTGTGGTGTTCTTTCTTACATATAGAAGGTTTATTCCTGTTAATGTTTCAAGAGGATCTTGTTTAAAGGAAGTAATAATGCACCATCTGAACAAAAAGATATTCCTTTTTTTTTTTTTTTTTGGGGGGGGGTTTTGGGGGGGGGGGGGGGGGGGGGGGGGTAACAAAAAGATATTCCTTTTTTTTTTTTTTTTTGGGGTGGGGATTTGGGGGAGAGGTGGTGGTGGTGGGGTTGTCTTGTTCATGCCAGTGGTGAACTGATAGATCTAATTCCTTCTTTTCTGTAGCTTCCAACTGATAAGCCCCTACGTAATAGCTGAAATATCATTAGTCCCAGCTATGACTGCATTGGATGGTACACCTGTCCATGTCAGGGGGGTTGGAACTAGATGATCCTTAAGGTCCCTTCCAATCCTAACCATTCTGTGATCTATTCAGCCATTATTTCATGTGTTTTCTGTTACTTCAGTACTTAAAAGATCCATGGTTTCCGAATCCTTTCCATTGATAGCAGTTTCTGTGCTGGATGACATACGTTTTGTATGTTTGCAGTTTATTATGTAATGAATGTTATGTTCCTTTTAAGAGAATGGCTTAACATGTGAGAATGTTGCTGTTTTCTCTGTCCTGGCTGCTGCACTGAGTCATGTGGAACCTCCTGGGGAATGGTGCTTGCTATGTGCCTTGGGGAGCAATGGAAAAGTGGTGGGGCTTTCCCTGAGGGTAGAGTAGAGCAGGCATAGTATATGTGAGATACCAGGAGGCTGTGGCGCTCCTGCAGCAAAAGCAGAGGGTGAGAAGAGTACGGAGCAGCAGCACATCTCAGAAAAGATGGAAAGAAACCCTTTTTCTAAGGATCGAAAAGGGCTGTGTAGAGTTTTCTGCACATTGGGAAGCTGTTGAGCTACTTGCGTGAGAGCACGCCTGAAAAAAATGACCGACCTTTCCCAACATGCTACCTAGTTAAATTTAGAGATTACTAGATTCGTGGGGTTTCAGAAATGCCCCCCCTTTTAGTTGTTGCTAGCATGAGTACACTAAGCTTTTTCAAGAAGTAACAGCTGAATTTTCAGTACCTATCTTTAAGCCTTGTCTGGCCTAGAAGCTGTGATCTTTATTTCCTTTTTTTTTTCTCTGATAATTCTGTCATTGAAGATACATTTGCAATTTACACTTAATGTCCTTTGTTTTAATTGTTAATTCTTTCAGTGACATTTGCAACCTTTTCTGTTGAATTGGGATGCAGATGCTAGGTAATTTTGCACCTATAATTAAATGGGTTCCTGATTCTCTCTGTGACTATCTTTGATCTTTCTAATTTCATTTCCTTTCTAAACTGATGAAAAACCAAGTTGCAGATAACTTCGTCAGACATTTACAGTTGACAGTGGTAATGAAATCACTATCACTGGCACAGAGATATGAGTTGGTATAAGCCTCTTTCTTGATGGCAAAGTTATTCTAAACAAATTATGTTCCCTAACTTAAATATACTTTAACTTGCTAATTGCAGCAGACGTCAAGAATTCAATTTTTTCGTACCCAGTCACAAGTCCTGAAAGCATAACTTCCATGGCCTTTGATTTTTCTGAGTTTTAAGAAAAATGTTGTCTTCTAAATGAATCCAGCTCTTTCTTTTATTTTACCTCTGTGGAAAGTAATCTTTAGATATTTTTAGGTAATTGTATTCCCTTGCATAGCACAATGGCTATCTGCTGTTAACTGTGAGCACAGAGTTTTATTCTGGAATATCTCTCTAACGGACAGTTGAGTTCTTCTGTCAGAAACAGTTACTTTGTGGTTTGTATCTTTTTCACTCTTTCTGATGAGGGATTGTGTTCAGTTCTTTTATCATAACCTTTTTTGACAACACTGTGGACTTCCCTTTCATGGCAAGTGCAACTTAAGGGAAAATCAAAGTTTGCGCTTCCTTATGTCTCTGTGTGTCTCTCTCTCTGAAGACTCTTTTTGTTCACAGTTTTGGTGTTATGGAGTATGAAACTTCATTTAAAAAAATCACAGAACTATTCAAGTATCTCTCCTTTTCTAATATACCCTCTTTCCTTTCTTCTCCCTTCTTTCTGAATCTTCCTTTCATTTTGAGAATTCTGGACTTTCGTTGCAGCAGAGCTGTGGATGGGCCCCATCCTGCAAAAGCATAGCCAAGGGCTGGGTTTGATTACAAATTCAGTATTTTCAGTTTGATCATGGGTGATTTGTAGTGCTGACTTGAAAGACAAACCCATTTTAGGGGGCTGACTTTTTAGGAACTTGACATACCTACAGGGATTTAAAATAAGCATGGAGTTTTGAGGGTATTATATTGCTGCTGTACAGCAGCTTAAAAAATCTTTCTACCTTTAGGGTTATGAATAGCTCTATCTTTCTCCATTTTTATACATATATGCATCTATAAGATAATCTGTAGAAGCACACTAATGCTTATAGCCTATGCTCTTCATTTGACATAGTTGCTTAGACTTCACTTCATGAAGGATGGCTGAAATGTGACCATCCATTAGATGCTATGAAGGTATTTTGGCCATGATTCTGCAAGAATCCTTTTATTGGCAAAACTGTTGGGAAGATGCATAGCAGGTGTATACTGGGGTTCCCTTCTTTGTTCTCCGCCTATTATTGAAGCATGTAAGCGTGAAATGTACTAGGGGGTGGAGGTGATTCAGAAAAGGAAAGGAAGGTTGATGCTAAAGGCTGTAGCTTTTTTTCAGAAGCACAGCCATCCTAGGAAGGATTTTGACAGATGCAGCTTCCTTTCTCTGAACGCTTTATGGGTTACTGTTACAGTAGTGTTGTAATACTGAAGCCAGACTCTCTTTACTTGATCAAGCTGCTTAATTAGTTTTCACCAATTTCTGCTCTTCCACATGTTGATCCCATATGGTCTGTCTTTTCTGACAGCTTTCTTTTCATCCTAATTACTGTGTATACAGTTTCACATACTTCAATTCCTTTAAAATTGTAAGTAGTTCCTGGAACTTCTAAAGAAATTGGCTTCATTCTTCACTACTCCTGTAGTGTGGTTCTGTGAACCAGTCCAGAGCATCACGAATGTTTTATAGTATCTGTCAACCTCAGAAGTATGTCTGAATGAATGCCACTGGCATGTATAAATGCAGCTTACATGGGCTCTGCTTGTACAGTATGGCAAAATGCCACCTTCTCTGCAGTGAGCTCTAAGAAGGTCAACAAATGGGAGATATCCCTCAATATAATACTTACCAGATGTCTGCTGAAAATACAGTACAGCAGAGAGAAAACAGTCTAAGAGGTTCTTAGAGGGTGTAGAAGTTAATTTCCTGATGCAGCTGGTGAGGGAGCCAATTAGGGAAGATGCCCTGCTGGACCTATTGTTTGTGAACAAAGAAGGACTTCTGAGTGATGTGATGGTGGGAGGCCGACTTGGGCATAGAGATCTTGAAACTATAGTTTTCGATTCTCAGAGAAGTAAGGATTGGGGTGAGCAGAACTGCTACATTGGACTTCCAGAGGGAAGACTTTGGCCTTTTTAGAAGGCTGGTTGACAGAGTCGCCTGGGAGGCAGTCCTGAAAGGCAAAGGAGTCCAGGAGGGCTGGACATTCTTCAAGGAAGTCTTAAAGGTGCAGGAGTAGGCAGTCCCCATGTGTCGAAAGATAAGCCAGCAGGAAAGGCCACTAGCCTGGCTGAACAGAGAGCTCTGGCTGCAACTCAGGGAAAAAAAAGAGTTTATTGCCTTGGGAAGAAGTTCAGGAGGACAGGATGTTGTCAAGTTTTGCAAGGGGAAAAGAAGAGCCAAAGCCCCACTAGAACTTAATCTGGCTACTGCCATAAAAGACAATAACGATGTTTCCATAAATATATTAGCAACAAAAGAAGGCAAAGGGCAATCTCCATCTCGTATTGTATGGAGGGGAACAGTGACAAAGGATGAGGAAAAGACCAAGGTACTTAATGCCTTCTTTGCCTCAGTCTTTAATAGTTAGACAAGTTGTTCTTGCAGTACTCCGCCCCCTGAGCTGAAAAACAGGGATGAGGAGCAGAATGAAGCCCCCATAGTCCCAGGGGGATATGGTCAGCCACCTGCTACACCACTGAGACACACACATCTATGGGAATGGATGGGATCCATACAAGGGTCTGAGGGATCTGGCAGAAGTGCTCACCAAGCCACTTTATGTCATTTATCAGCAGTCCTGGCTAACATAGACTTAATAGTGTTACTGCAGAAGTACTTCTTTTAGCTAAGAATTTTCTGGTAACTTGCAGTGCAGAGTTGTGTAAAAGACTCTCTACTGCTTATGTTTGTTTCACTCTCTTTTTCTTATGTTTGTATTTGCATCAGAAGCCTGAGACATGAGCAAAAATCTTACTGCTAGCACTTACCAGCATCACTACTACAGAGACTGATCTTCTGAGGCTGCACAGAGAAATTGAACTAATTTGTTCTGGTACCAGTCATCCCAATTCAGAATCTTTTTTTCAGAGACATTTTCAAAATTTTATCTGATTTGATTATCTGTGATCTCTGACATTCTTCAAAGAGGAAAATGCTCAAGAATTTATCTTTTGGATTCTAAGAACATCCAAGAGTTTCAATCCCATTGCTTTAGAAATCCATTTAATAAATATTTACTTTTGATTTTGGGGTTTTTTTTCTCCCTTCTGAGAGCCCAAAGAGAACTTGTCTCTTTTGAAGATTTTTGTTACATACCTTCTGATTCTCATGTCAGAAAGGTTAATAAATAAATTTTCTCTGACTCCTCTAACTGAACTGATTTCCAAGCTAAGAAGATATTGTAGATTTTGTTGGCCCTCCTGTAAATCAAGTAATTTTGCTATCAAGATGTCCTGTCTTCTGTCTTACAACAGGAAGGCTTTCTTACTTCCTTACCTGCTTCCCCTTTCTGAAACTGGATGATTTCTGAAGAGGCTGAGTCTTTACTTCTTCACCAGTCCTACAGTGTAAGAATCCTCTTGTTTAGTGATGTTTAAATTTGGTATTGGCATCTCTAAGAAATCATTTGGCAGTACTGTGCTTTCTTCTCCTTCTCTGTAAAGTGAGTGTCCAGAAGTTGAAGACAAGGCTTTATGGTTGCTGTTGCTTCTGCTAGCAGAGTGGCTGTAATTTAGACCCTTACTGTAGATGATCATTACATCATTTAAAGATACAATCCATCTTAAAACTCAAATATTTTTTTTTTATTTTGATGTGTTCTAAGGGCTGTATTTTCCTAAGTCATTTTAGTGCTACTTAAACCAGGAGGTTAGCTTGCTTTGATTGGTTGAAATTGGGTACAATGTCAGTAGAAACAAACCCTGGGATATGTGCACATTGAACTTGTTTTTTGTCCTTCCACACTGGCAGGACAGGATATTTAGGAAACAATCTGTTTGCATCTATTTTAGGTGTAATCCAAGAAGTTACATATTTCAAGATAAAATTTTTCCCATGGGATAGCTGACTCTAAGGATGTCATGTAGTAACTTTAAGCAAACTTTAGAAATGTCCTGCAGTGATCAAATTAAGCTCTATCAGACACCTATAACAATTAAGAATTAAGTGATGCCACAACCTCATATAATTTCAGTCTTGCAGTCTCTCTTAGTTTAAAAATCTTTCAGTGGTGGCACTCTTAATACCTCCTCCTATGTGTCATGCTTCCTGAAGTAACCGCATTGACAATATGCCTATATAGAAACCTAGTTAAATAATGTGCCCTTGTGGCAAAGAAATGCTAGTGGTATCCTGGGCTGCATTAGACCAAATACCAGCAGTTGAGAGAGTGGGTCCTCTTCTGGGCTTTCTGGTACAAGAGAGACATGGACATACTGGAGAGAGTCCAGCAAAGGGTCACTAAGAAGACGAAGGTACTGAAGCATATGAGGAAAGGCTGAGAGAGCTGGGACAGTTCCACCTGGAGAAGGGAAGGCTCAGGGGGATCTCATCAATGTATATAAATGCCTGAAGGGAGGGTGCAGAAAAGAGGGAGCCAGGCTCCTTTCAGTGGTGCCCAGTGACAGGACCAGAGGTAGCGGGCACAAACTGAAATGCAGAAGGTTTGCTCTGAAGATCAGGAAACCCTTTTTTATGGTGAGGGAGGTGGTGGAATGTCTCTCCTTGGGAGGTACTCAGAAGGCTTCAGGACATAGTCGTGGGTAACTGGCTCTAGGTTGACTATGCTTCCGCTGGGGGGTTGGACCGGATGACCCCCAGAGGTCCCTACCAACCTCATCCATTCTGTGACTGTATAACAAAAAGTCACTGTAAGTTGTGTTTCACCACTAATTTTATCCATAAATCTAGTATGCACTTCCTTTCTCCCTCTTTTCCCCCAAAGTTTCAACACCTAGAGCCAAATACTTCCTCTTTATATAAAGACTGTAGGGGCTACTCATATAAAAGATAGATATTGAAATGTCATTCTCCTCTAGGCTTCCAAGATTTTCAACTTCTACTAGCTTTAATGGCTTCTAGTTCCTGTGTTGAAAGAGGCACTGAGGTCCCTATCCATGTTCTCTTTGCTGTTCATCATTTTGAACGGAGCATTATGCCCAGATCCCTCAACTCCCCATTTCTCTAAGCTAGATAATCCTAGCCTTTTTGTAGATCTTCATATGAAACACATTCTGTATAAGCATTGTACACAATATATAAGATGCGAGTAAACCTCAAATGGCCCAAGTGTGTTTTTTCTCTATCTTTTCTAATGATTTTGTAATATTAGAAATGTTTCTGGTTTGGTTTTTATTTTTGACTGCTGTTAGGAACAAAGTTGATCTCTTTGTGGAGATACCTGCTATAGCTATGAGATTTAATTTAAATAGTAATAGTAACCTCAGTATGTATGAAATGAGGTTTGTTTTTCTTTTGTGGATTAAGTTATGTAATTTATCTCCTCAAATTTTTTTTTTTTTAATTTTTTTTATTTTGAAGTTGAAAGTGAAATGCTACCTTTAGCGTGGTAACTCTTTAATTAAGAGTTTCAAGTAATTAGCAAATATTTGTTTTACAGGAGAATATTAAAAAGTGAGCCACCTTATCCACAAGAAATGAGTGCACTGTCAAAGGATATTATTCAGCATCTTTTGATGAAAGACCCCAAGAAGAGGCTAGGTTGTGGTCCCACTGATGCTGATGAGATCAAACAACATCCCTTTTTCCAGGTAAAACAGACAACAAAGCTCCGCAGATACCACTTGGTCTGTGTTAGTGACTTTGAAACCTAAGTCTAAAGAAGTTCTCTTGGTTTTATTACATAATAGCTTAGGGGTGTGTTAATTGCATGAATAATATGGCACTGAAATTAGCAAGGGTATCCATGTTCTTATGTATGTGGATTTTATGTGTACTACAGGAAGGGTTGGTAGATTTTTAATATGTACTCTGTTTCTAACAGTTACTTGAAGCAGCCAAAAGACATGTTATTTAAACCAAAAGATCTTAACAATTTCTATGTTGTGTTGTTGATTTCTTTAAAGGAAAGTTTGCCACTAACATTATTAGTAAAATTTGCATATTGATAAAGTTCAGTATTAGGGATAAACACCTGTTATGTATTTTCCTGTTCCTAATTAATTCTTTAGTCTTGTTTAGTAAATTTTAATTCTGTTCAGATTTCAGTGCATTAATAATTGATAAGATTTGATAAATTAAACCTTTAAAATCAGGATTTTTCGATGTAATTATCATAACATTCAGCATGAGCAGTATCTTGGATTTTTAACTTCTGAATTTCTTTTCATCCCTTCTCATTTTCCTTCCTTTTAAAAGAGAGTTTGACAAAGTAGAGTTAAACTTTCTTTATTCACTGATTGTTTTGGAAGATGGATTTTTTTCCTTGTACAAAACTTTTTAATCCTGACTTCATTTCAGTTCCACTCTTTTGCAATAACAGGGTGACTTTCTCTTAACTACTATATCTATGCTTATGTTCTACTTCCAGCCATGCCTTTAAGTAATAATCTGAAGGCATTGTGCTCTCAGGGCTCTGGAAGCTAAGATTAGTAATTAAGCATAGAAATCAGCAATGAAAAGTTGAAGGTACTGCATGCATGCAGCACGGCTTACAAAAATATAAATGTTGTTTCCTAAGAAATTTAAAGGCTGTTTGTCTTATCTCCACTGTTTAAATTTGTGTTGATTTTGTTTTTGGTTTTGTTTTTAAAACTGGATTCTGCCTACTTAAAAATAATTATGATACTTTTTGACTTTATCTAAGCAAATTAGTAGGGCAAAATATGAATGCTTTTCAACTGCCTGTGGAAGATAGCAAATGTATTTAGGACTGTTTCTGGACAAGTACCTCTTTCCAGTATTTGTTTCTTTTAAATTTTCATTTGATTCAAACTTACTTTCCTGTGTTTGGTTTAGAATATGAATTGGGACGATTTAGCTGCCAAAAAAGTACCAGCTCCATTTAAACCAGTAATCAGAGACGAGTTGGATGTCAGTAATTTTGCAGAAGAGTTTACAGAAATGGATCCAACATATTCTCCTGCAGCAACCCCTCAGACGTCAGAAAGAATATTTCAGGTATTTTAAGAACTCACGTTGATTTAAAAAGAAAAACAAAAAAAACCCAAAAAAACACCACAACAAAACCAGTAATTTATTGAACAATTCCATGTGTATAGCTAGTTTGTTTTGTTTCTTTTTCCTGCCTTCTAAGTTAATTCCCAGTAACTATGTAATTTACAATGCTAGTTCTCAGGGCTTGATTCAACAATTGCAAAATGAGAAATGTGGAAGCAGTGCTACTGCAAACATAAGATTCCATGTTCTTCCATTCCCAACTGAGTGTTCTACCTGCTGGACCAAAGTCAGGCTGTCCTTTATTGAGTATTCGTAAGTTAAGAATCTTGTCATCTTGACTCCATCAGCCTGGCGTACCAGCTTCAACAGCAGCAGTGTAGTTTGCCTATGTCCACATTATTCTCTACTTGGGGTATTCCTTTGGGAAGTAGGAGCTAACTGCAGAGCTGAAAGAAGGTCTTCTGGGTGCTGTAGGAGTGCTTCAGTTACTAGACTACTGTATCCCTTCAGACTGCACAGTCTGGATGTCAAATAGGCAGAAACAGATTATGTGCAGCCAACTCAGTACCAAAGCTGCAGAGGTGAACAGTAGTCCAGATTGCTTTTTCTCCCCCCTGTCCTTGTGCTTTGTTGTTTTTATTGTCTGGTTTTGAGCAGCTTAATGCTGCTTAGTGTACAAGAATATAGCATCATATTTTGGAGCTTGCTAGATTTGTACTGACTTTGACTGTACTGAGCAATTTATGCGTGTCATAATACTTTCTGATTCATCCTGCAGTGGTAGTCATAGTTGTTCTTGTTAGAATACCCAAACCAGGCACAGCCATTAATATGAAGCTTATTTTGTTTTGCCATTTAAAATGGTTTGATGCTTACATCACAACATAACTATTTCATGCTTGAAACTAAAGGTGTTCTGGGAAGCTAGCTACTTTGAAGTGTGACTCTTTATTGTATTGCAAAACAGTTGAAGCTGAGCCAGATTTTCAGCATCATTTACCAGAATTGTATTATTATTGTTTTATCTGTTACTGTGGAGAATCATATAACTAATCTCAGGAAGACACCTGTTCACACTGAACAGAGGGATATCTTCTCCCCATCAGAGACATAGTTACAGTTTCTGTATTGTTATGAAAATTCCAATTTCTTTGGAGAGAAAAAAAAAAATGTTCTGAAACTTCTGATGCTTCATATGCAGTATCATAGTTTGTGTGCAACAATTTCAAGTCATGTCCTTTTCTGATGTTTTAATTTCACAGGGGTATTCTTTCGTTGCACCGTCTATTTTGTTTAAACGCAATGCAGCTACAGTAGATCCTCTTCAGTTTTATATAGGGGATGAGCGGCCTGGAACTACAACTATTGCCAGAAGTGCTATGATGAAGGTAATAATAATATCAAGAACTGAGTTGATTTGGTTATCTTGGAACTACATATAACTTTACAAGCAGCAATCACAAGCTAGGCTCCAGATTACAAAATAGTCATTATTATTTTATCTGTTCTCTGTAATGGTTCCTCAAATGATCCAAGCATTTAATTTGCATGTGGTACTATTAAGGTGTAGTTTAATCTGAAAAATGAGATGATTATCTAGCTTTCCAGAAGACTGAAGTATAATAGTAATTTGACTCCTGATAGTTCTTATTCAGCCAAACATTGTAGATATTTTTGAAGCTACTTTAATTATATCAGAATTCCTTCTATGCTGTATTTACCCAAAAGCATGGATAGATGTATGAAGCCTTATAAGAACACATACTATTGTGATGTCTTCAAAGAAGAACATAGTTTTGTGGATAAATGTATGTACAGCCACCTTTGATCCTGTTTGTCTGAATATTTTGTATCTTTAGCTATTGTAGTAGTAATGATTTATTTGGTGATCATGTTTAATGTAACATAAGATTTACTCTTTGTTTGTTAGAATAAATTTTATTCATTTTATGAAATAGAAGTTAAGATTATATTTTATCAAAAAAAGAGCTTTTTTTCAATTTTAAATGTAGATTAAAAATTCTCACAAAACTTCACTCTTTGTTTTTGACTGTGTATACTGAAAGTATTCTGCAGAACTAAATACAGACAGTTTCCTAACAGGACTCTCCATTTTATCATCATTATGAACTGGATCTGAAAGAGAAACCTTTGGGAGAAGGAAGCTTTTCCATTTGTCGAAAGTGCTTACACAAGAAAACTAGCCAAGAGTATGCAGTAAAAATAATTAGCAAAAGGTATAAATATTCTATAACACAATAAAAATATTTTCTTTGTTACTGTCACCCATGGATTAGAAAAATGTTCACTACATTTTCAGAAGTGGAAAAATAACTTTATATTATTTCCTTTCTGTAGAATTTACAGAAACTTATACTAACCTTATGACCTTTAAAAGATTCTGAAAGTCTTTTGAAACAAAACATTATTCTTTTTTGGGGAGGACACAAGAAGAAGCCTAAAGAGTACTTTTCTGGTTCTTTGTTGTATTCTACCCTAATTTCCCCTAATTTCCTGGGTGTCCCGATGTCAACACCACAATGGAAGAAGCTGAGTTGCTTTGTACATGGGGACCATCTGGTCCTCTTCCAAAATAGGTACTTCTAGCAGTTTCTGTTCAGAGAAAAATAAAGATAAGGGATTATTTAAGGATCGGGTAGATCTTTTTTAGCTTCATTTTGCAGTGTTCATTAGTAAGTATGTCCCAGTGCGTTGCAGAATGCTATAGGGAAGAGAAAGTGTAGATGTTCTGCTATCAGAATGATAGTTCACAGTGATCTCTTCTCTAAGACATTTGGCTGTACCTCTGTTTTTCCAGACTCTAGAAGTAACTGTCCACCAGCCTTAAGTGTTTCATCACATGCTTTTTGGATAGGATAAGTCCAAGAATAAGACACCTAAATATAGTTGTCTGAGTCAGTTTTCTGAGGTGTGCTATGATTAATGGAGGCCTACTCATAACAATTAGTGGAGTCTACAGAGATTCAAATGACTAGACTCTAGCCATGGGATTCAGTAACTTAAGCATAGGCATCTACGTCGTGCCAATTTAGCATCTGTTGGTGTCTTCTCTGTCCTCCAGTTCCCATCAGTCTTGTGACTACTACTTTTATGTAGGTGTCTCCATGGCCGATGTCTTCCAGGCTCTCCTATGCTTAGGTCACTGAATCCTACTCTAGGTACATATTTTATGGTGAAGTAGTTCACCCTATAAGATTAATTAGGTAGAATTTCACTATCATAATGAGACCTTAGACACACAGTATGCAGTTGACACAACATTGGATGTTTCACTCTAGAAATCCCTGCCTTGTGTCTACATTCAAAATTTTTTTGTGTGGTGCATGCAGAGCTGCAGAGCAGTGTTCTCATCTTAAGCTGATGTATTTTTCTGTTTCTGGCTAACAGTGAGCTAAGTAGTATTGACTTTTCCCATAGAACTAAACTTTCAGAAATGATGTTGCCAAATGATAATATTACAGTTTCTTTTGCTCTTTCTTGTTCGTCTTGGTGGACCAGGCTAAATGAAGGTAAAGAAGTGGTCTGTATACGAAAGAGATATTTTTCGTTTTTAGGATTGTAGGCTGTGAGCAGACTCAGAGCATGTTTGTGCAGTATTTACAGGGAGCAGTAAACCCACACTCTGAATGGCTGGACACAAACCAGCCGTCAGTAAGAAACTTCTAAACAGTAAATAATACTGCTCTGAGGACCACTTTATTAACTCTTGCTAAAAGGAAAAGTATAATAGGTTTATGGTAACTTCTTTGCCTCCAAGTCAGTCAGTCTTTCACTCCTACCCATCAAAGGTGCTAAAAAAGCGAATCCTACACAGACGCAAACCTTTTCATGTAGTTGAAGTGAAAGCTTGCATCAAGAGTTCCTCTGTGGTGTTACTTTGTTAGTAGTGCAGGACCTGCCTCCGTCCAACTATTTGATGTTTATCTATGTGTCTGAAAGCCAGTGAAACAGTAAAATAGCTTGAGTTATTGTTTTAGAGATTCTAAGTTGTTTTTAATGGTATTTTCTGTTTAAAATCTGACATGGTTAACTGTTTATAGAGGGGTGATACTCAGAAAAGTCCATGCAGAAAGGTTGATGTTCATGATGCTGAACCTTTTTCGTCTGTTTCCTAGGTCCACCTTCTCCTTATAGTAGTTTAGGGGGGAAAGATTATTTGAATCGGGTTTTTTTAATTTCTTGGGAGAGGGAGGGATGTGGGGAATGCAACCAAAAATTAAGAACATGTGGAGAGAGAGATTTTATCTGCGTTATCCATGAGGCCATTCTCTAAGTCAGCACTCAATGAGCCTTTCTCAGGGAAAATTTTTGAAAAAAAAAAAAAAAATCAGGCATTATTTGCACCAAATAAATCACCATATTTAGTGGAAATAAAAATGTTCTATTCTGTCCCCATTCAGATAGGTTTTATAATGTTCACCATGTTAACTCTTTGGCTATAGCTTTCCGTATTTGAAAGAGAATTTGTGGGATGATTTTTGCTGTTCAGCTAATCTCTTCTTATCTCTTTCATAGTGTTACAATGGCCTCTTTAGGGGGTCGTTTGTATAACGCAGTTCATATGTAGATGATGTTACTCTGTGCTACTAGGAGTTCATAATTTCCGTACGGCATTGGACATATGTACCTCCTATAAGAATGAAATAGAATTGGGCCAATAATTTGAGTCTTCAAGATAAAGGTGAACTAACAAATACTTGTAGGAAGAGAGGTGAAGTCAAATTGCACTGGACTAAGGGAAAGGTTTGTTTTAAATGGAAACTATTATATAATATCATTTCAGCTTTTGGTGTAGCAAGTTGCAGTTGCATCAAAAACGTTGTTTATTTGGGTGTGGGTTTTAGTGCCCTAACTTGCAGGACTGTGTGGAGAGTTTTGCTGAGCTTACTTTGAATATGCTTTTAATTGTGTTTAAGTGGTTGTAATATTAAGAAAATTTGGAATGCAAGCAATTAAAAAAAGAGGTATAATACTTTGAGTGTGAAATTTGCTTAGTAAAATTGGTACAAAATGAATGCTCAATTTTTCCAGAATGGAAGCCAACACCCAGAGAGAAATAACAGCTCTGAAACTCTGTGAAGGACACCCGAATGTAGTGAAGTTACATGAAGTTTTTCATGACCAGGTATTTTGAAGAAACTGTAATCAGTACAAGCCAAACTCTTTGCCATGTCTTTTCCCAAGAACTTTTAGGAGTTAAGCATACAGCTGAGACAACTTTTTTCCTAGGGCTTGTGTCTAGTCAGTATGGAAGATGAAGCAGAAGTTCTACATTCTACATTCTGAAGTTACTCTACCAAATCAAAAAAGTATTTGAAAGAATTAGAGTCCTGGATTCTGTTTCTGTCCTTAGTCTACTTTGTTAATCGTCATACAATATATTCATGGTCCAGTTTCCGTATCTGTGAATAGATAATCACCTTCCCTCATGGCTGTCATGAATCTTAAAACAGAATTTGTAAAAAAAATTTATGTAAAATAATTTGGAAATCTTGCATATGAAGATTACATACATACCTACTGCGCATTTTTTTTTTCTTGCATGTCAGTAAATTAATGGAGATGACCATGTAGCTTGCTAACTTACCAATTGTGAAAGTAGAGCCTCTATTTGAAACTATATTGAGATCAATTTAGGGTTTATTTAAAGTCCTTAGTTGTCTTTCTCCCTAGTGTAATGCAAGCTCCAGAGCATCTAATAAGCCATAATTTAATTTAACTTAGAGGTTGGCGCTGGTTTGAGCTAGGGATTTGGACCAGTTTTCCTGCAGAGGTACTTTCCAACCTAAACTACTCTGTGATTCTAGTCTAGATTTTGTCATAGGCTCTCTTGCCTCCCCACATATCCCAGTCTATCCCCAGTATGCTATTTACACAAGGACCAGCAGGGTGCTCATGTGGAGCATGAGAGCATGAAAAATTGTATATTAATCTTTAACGATAAGGAAGCATTTTTTTGCATTTATGTACAGTATGAGGTGTGTGTAGAACAGGACACTTTTTTCACTTTCCTTTGAATAAAATTACTATACTCGGGAATATCTTAAAAAAAAAAAAAAAGTTCTTCAGATTGTTCTGAATAGGCTACTCTCCACCAGCCTAACTATTGTATTTTTAGTTACTCTTGGTAGTTCCCAGATGGTTTCTTCCACATTAATCATGCACAATATTCTGAAGACCAAAATGGGTCTAAATTTTCTAGTTTGACATTTCTGTGGTTTGTCTTAAAAAAAGAAATTCAATTTTTAACCTGCTTTTATATCAGTCTGATCAAATTCTACATTAGTAATCCAGCCACAGAGTATTGGGTTGCAGTCTCTTCTGGTGAGCCATAAGTTTTTGAGCAGAAAAAGTCTGTTTATCCTTCCTGACTTTCCTGCTGGCTATTCCCAGGACATAAAGAAAATTTGCAGGAGAGGGTATCTTACAAGCACTACTAGCAATGTAATGCTATTACTAGTAATGTAATTACTAGGAGGCACTTTGTTCTGTTGCTGCTTTCTGTCCACATAGCTCTGCTTCTGTTCTTTGATATCTAAATACTTTGCACCTTCTGTTCCTGACTATTTCTTTTAATTTCATTCTTTGACCTCTTCCCAGAAGTTTTTTTTCTTTGCTTGCAAGTATTACTTTCGTTACTGTCGTTCTGGAGAAGGAAATGTAGAAGCCATCCCATGCCTATATCCATTACCTTTTGAGAATGCTAACTTCATTTTTCCCGTCCTGAGAAGTCTGCCTTTTGCAGTTGATGGTGTGCTAATGTTGCCATATAATCAAGGAAGTCACTGCTTATTGATTGTCTTGAAAAGAACAACCATCTAAACAATCATTACTTTTTTAATTAAAAAAATACTCTTTAATGTTTGGGAAGATGTCTGTTGTGATTCTAATGGTAGAGTAGCTTTTGCTACTACTCTGTAGGGGATGAAATCAGAAGAAATTCTAGAGACTCTTCAATTTTACAGTAAAGTTTCATGGTGCTTTTGAAGCATGTGGTAACATTTAATGTCTAACTCCTTATGCATATTGATAGAAATTTATCCCTACATCAGAACAGGTTTAAACAGCAGAAGTTGGGGGTTTTTTTTGTAGCTTTGTTAGCCAAAAGAAAGGCATTTTGTCTCCCGTATCCAAATTCACCCATTTACATGGTGGCATTGCATTTTTGTAAATAAGTGTGGGTGGACATGGGGAAGACATCAACATTCTTCAGTCTCAGATTGATGGGGAAAATGTCATCTGAGATTCAATTTGGTGCCTCTTACTGGTGTTATGAATTGCTGTGAGCAGCAGTTTTATTTCTTCAAACTTTAAGAACCTATTGGAATAGCATCTAGCTCCTGAATGAACGTTGGTTTGTAATGTTAAATTTCTAACATGCCATGTTTTTCTTCATTGTTTCAGCTTCACACATTTCTAGTAATGGAATTGCTGAAGGGAGGAGAATTGCTTGAGCGTATTCAGAAAAAGAAACATTTCAGTGAGACTGAAGCCAGTCATATTATGCGCAGACTTGTTTCAGCAGTGAGCCATATGCACGATGTGGGAGTAGTCCATAGAGATCTGAAACCTGAGGTATAGTGACTTGCATGTATACGTGTGTGTGTGTGTGTGTGTATATGTGTATATACACACACGTTCAGACACTATGTTATTAAATATCTGGAATGTGATGTTATTTTTGTTCCTGCAGCTTTTATTAGTTTTTTCTACTTCTGTATTTTTTATAAAATGTTATCACTTAGAAAAATGTCTACAGAATTTGCTGTTCATAAATAAAAGTAACTGTTAGGAATAATTTTTAACTTCAAGCAATTTACACCGTAACTTTTGTCAAAGACATTCTTTGCCTATTTGGAGACAGTTTTTACTAGTGGTAAATAGGTATTTATTTTATGAAACAGTTCACGAGCAGAGTTATGTTGCTTGGATACGTTGCCTGTACATTTCCACCTTTACTTTGATCTTAATTCCCTCAGTAGGGTTTCTTTTGGAGGTAGCTGCAGCACCCTTATACTGTCTTCTGTCTCAGTCAAGTGCAAAACAAACCACAAACTAATGCAGCCAACTAATCAAAAAGTGTGATTTGAGTTCAGTGAGTTAATGGTTTCCCAAAAGAAACAATCATTTAATATGTATTTTTCAATAATCTCTTGTTCTGGTATTTTTCTTGTGCAGCAACATCTTGCCTTCCAGGCAATTCAGTTTCCTGTGGTAAAGTTGACCACTGGCTTTGTTCTTCTTCCCGCAGCCCATATTTGCTCCTTTTCCTTTGCCAACAGTGGGCTTGGATACGTGTTAGTTTTCTTTAGCCCACGAATAGTATAGTTTGATGTTAGTTCATGCAGTAAGGATGTTGTATTGGTGATTACAGTCATCATACCTCAGGAAATAGCTGCTGCTTTTGTATTTGGAGTTTAAAATGATCCACTGTTCCTACCAATGTTTCATGCTTTTGTAACATACCTTCTGGTGTATTACAAACTTATTTCTTCTATAGTAATCCCAGCTCAACAGGTGAAGAAGTCTGCTAGGTATTGGTATTATAACTGTTATATATATAACTGTTTTCCAATGTTACTCCAAAATACATGTTCGAAAACATCTCTGTACTGGAGTCACTGTACTAAATAAACAATCAAATGAAGAGGGGCTATTGTGAAATTCTAATGTGCTAATTAAAAATGTGACTCTTAGAAAATGTTCTTCTGCTGACATCATCAAGGAAAGAAAACAGCTTTTGAAACAGATCATTATTTAAAGGACAAAACCCAGAAATCCTTTCTCGCTTCTCATCGTTCTAGCCTTATTACCATCTTGAATGTAAAGGCCAGATTCTGTAAAGCAGAGTTTCAGATGCGTGATAAATTAGGCAGTCTTCAATTCTACATCATTTTCAAGAACAGAAGTCTGGGAAGTCCCAGTAATGAAGGGTTAGCAAACAGCTTGCAGAATGCATTGCCTCCACGAAGTCGGACCAGCTTGTCTCCTTACTGCTTGTTGTTTTGAAAGTTACTATTTTAGGTTCAACAGGAACTTGGTATGGGATATGCAGGCTTACCAATATAGATGTGTTTAGTGCACCTTTCTGTAAAAAAAATATCTAGGAAATTGTTTCCTTTCTAACAATTTCAGTCAGATTTGTTTGATGTTCAACTTTGACATCTAATGTGATAGTGGTAATTCTATTTTAAAAAATATGGCTGGTCAAATGTGACTAAGGATGAGGTGCTTTTTTAATTGCATGGACCGGATGGAAGGCTTTTCTGATCTAAGCTATAGTAATTAGATCACATATTTGCTCTGCAAAATAGAGGGAAAGTACTGGATAGAAAATAGATAATTTATTGTGGGGTTTTGTATAACACGTTGTGTTTACCTGTTAAATGAAGTAGTCTGAAGCTAGCTTAGAACATTTGGACTGTGCCTTTCTTTCTGTACATAACCAATTTCATTTTTGTCTTAAGAAAGAAGGTCTTTTTAAATGAATGTCACTGAAGTTATTTACTTGCTGGCTTTATAACAGCACCAAATTAAAAAAGACAATGGTATTAATTGCCTATCCTCGCTATATTAATATTTCTACTTAAATTTGGCTTCCTTCAGATCCATTCTGCACAACATTTTAGTACAGAAAACTGACTTTCCTAATAGTGCATTAACCTATAACAGCAGTACAGAATGCAAAATTTTGTAGCAGCTGTTCTCTTTTATCCATAATAAATACTCTCAGGTTCTCCTTACTGATCTGCTTGCCGTCTAGCAATCATTTTAATTTCCCCCTTCTTAATGAGTTTGAAATTAGTAATTCACTTCTTGTATTACAAAATTGCATAGGGCTACAGGATTTCTAATTTTGTGACTTTTTCTAGCATTCCGTAGGTTAAAAAGCAAAGGCAACAAGGCTCTCTTTTCTCTCAGAAGTTCAAGGGGGGAGTAGAAATATTTTATAATTCATCTTGACCTCAGCCGTTTCTCTTAAAACTTCGCTTGTTTGTCATTTTATCATGACAAAAATAAATACCCAGGGGAAAAGAAGAACAGATTGTCTGAAATCTCCTTCCAAATTGACAACAACTTGTCTCTCTTCAAGTCCGAGATGCCACATTCCAGTCTGTAAAGTTGGAATTCTCAGGGACTACTGGACCAAAGTTTCTTTACCTTGGCGTAAGGAGTAGGCCACTGGTTAAATGTTGGAGTGCTATGTGACCTTCAGTGCTTGAATGCCACTGGTCCCAGGTCTCTTCCAGAAAGCATATCTAAACTGACTTTGAGATCCATGCCAGACAGCAGTCAATAAAACTACTGAGCTATTGGTGAACTTTCTGATCTGTCATCTTTCGCTTTCTAATTATTCTTTTGCGTTACTGTGCCCATAGCAATATGGCTACAGTGTGTTACTACTTGAGGACCAAAGACTATTCAGTTGCAATACAAGACATGAAACAAGAGTTCCACATGCAAGAAAGCTGTCATTTGGAACATACCAGAAGAAAGCAGAAGCTTAAGAAAATATACTTTTGTTTGAGGAAGAAGGCAATTCTCCGCTTGTGTTGATGTCTTTTGCTTTTTTCCATGTCAGTGTTCCCCAAATTATTTTCCTTACTGTTCTCTGCTGAATACCCATTTTCATTAATAATCTCAGACAGAACTATCCTGAATTGCAGATACTCAGGAGGCAGATAAACACATCACATTTTCTTACATCCCAGAGTACCGTTATTTCTGCTTCTCCATTTTTTTCTCCCCAGTGTCTCTCAGTTCCCCTTTTCCCTAGATAGTTTTCTGCAGTAATAAAGGTGGAGGAAAAAATAACTATTTAAGTATTCTAACCAATTTTCTACCTGGTGCTGGTATTGATTCTGTCTTTGCTTTTCAGAATTTATTGTTTACAGATGAAACTGATAATTCAGAAATAAAAATAATTGACTTTGGCTTTGCTCGTTTAAAACCACCTGATAACCAGCCTCTTAAGACTCCATGTTTTACTCTTCATTATGCTGCCCCAGAGCTCTTGAATCACAATGGTTATGACGAGTCCTGTGATCTGTGGAGTTTGGGGGTCATTTTGGTGAGTGATTGAGGTTTTTGATTGTAACTTCATTTTATATATTTACTTTTTGTTAAAATGCAAAGAACTTGACATAATTTCAGACTTGAATTGGATAGATGATATTTCAAGTGAGGTGAAAATACTGCTGCACAAATAATAGATTCCAGAGACTGATGTTTTCTAGGGATGGAGATGTTTTTTCCTAAGCAGTAAAATAAATTCAACATTTCAGGAATGGAAAAAATACTTGGTACAATCTGGTTCTTAAAAAGAGATGATCTTGTTAGGAGATCTTACAGGCATCCATATAATCTTCATACAGTTTCATTTCAGAGAATGAATCCACCTGCTTCTGATTTACAGAAAATAAATTTCAGTACATATAAACTGGATAGAAATACCATTGTGTTTTGTTGATACTTTCCTTCTAACAAGGACTCCAGAAAAAGTCTTGCATACTTTAAGTTTTCTATAGCCTTGAAAGATATGCTAGTGAAAGTTTTATTGTATAGCACTGGTGATGCAAACAGAAGCCTTCCATATTTAGTAATAGGACTGTCAATAAATATACTGTGTTTGTTAATACTACTTTTGTTCTTACGACAGTATACAATGCTATCAGGACAGGTACCATTTCAGTCTCAAGACAAAAGTTTAACATGTACCAGTGCACTGGAAATTATGAAGAAAATAAAAAAGGGAGAATTTTCTTTTGAAGGAGAAGCTTGGAAAAATGTTTCTGAGGAGGCTAAAGAGTTAATTCAAGGTATGTATTCACAAATATTTAATGTACCTTATGTTCTTATCTCAGAATTTAGAGAACTATGCAATATCTGGATGCTGTGATCAGCATCACAGTGCCTAACCTGACAGAGTAGTATACACGGCTTGAGCTATGTACTGAGCCCCTAATTCAAGTTATGAGTAAAGGTGGACACATCAGAACAGTCCTACAACTTGCTTGTACACCTAGCAGAGTGCTTTTTAGTGTAGTGAGATGCTGATAGAAGATGTGTGTGGTTAGAAGTAGCCAGAGAGCGTCAGAAAAAATGAAGTCACTCTTGTAAAACATATTTAAAAGCAGATTTCTTCTTTTATGTTATGGTTGCTTTTGTAAAAACACCAAGTTATATGACGTTTTAAAAGATGAGCTTTTGCACAAAATGAATGTATTACTATCACTTTTCCTCTGGCTATTTTTGAATGCATGTACTAAGACTGCTGTATTTCTGAGCTGCTTCATTCACATTTGCCATGCTTTGATTCCCCCTAAGCTTTTGAGCATCGAATTATGTTTTCAGCATGAGATAGGCACTAGTCCTAATTTTACTAAGATTGAGTTCTGAATTTCTTGAGATGCAGGCTTGTAAGTAATTTTTCTGCCAAAAAGGTAGGTATTTCAACATTCAGACTACCCTTTTGAACTAAATCCTAGGGAGGTTTTAAGAAGTAATTTGGTAGTTCTGAGTTAAGGTGAAGATATGTGAATTGTCAAACAATTAAATAGCAGTTTCTTGCATTTAATGATTTTCCTGGAGAGGATAATAGTATAACATGGTGTGAGCCTTACCTAGGATAAATATTAGCATACCTAAGATAAATATTGTCATTATTTACTTACCAAAGCAATGCATGAGGTTTTCTTAAAAAATAATCCCATTTTCTATTAAAAGAAAATAAATAGCTCACAATTTAAGAGAATGCAATATATTTCTGTTAGGACTTCTAACAGTGGATCCAAACAAAAGAATAAAAATGTCCAGCCTGAGATACAATGAATGGCTTCAGGATGGGAGCCAGTTGTCATCCAACCCTCTAATGACTCCTGATAACTTAGGCTCTTCAGGAGCTGCAGTGCATACGTATGTCAAAGCCACTTTTCATGTAAGTTCTGAGAAATCTTTTATCATGTGCTAAATTTTGTAATGCGTTAATGTAGATTTTTTTGTATGTTTTCTCCTAATTAAAAATATGTATTTGTCCTTATAATTCAGTGATTGCTTATAGCTGCAATTTTTTCCTCAATACCTAACATCTGTGATTAAGTAGAGTGAAAACATGAATGATAAGGCAAGAATATATTTCTTGAAAACATTTATACTAGTAGGGTTTTAGGGACTGAGACATGGCTGTTCATGAAGTAGATATTGTAAATATTCTGTTTCTTAGAGAAATATTTTAAAAGGTCTTCAAACTTAGAAAAAAAAGAAAAAGAATCTTTCTGTTTAACTTAAGTGACTATTTGGATTTTTGTCCTTACACTTAAAAAATTGAAGTAAAATTTCTGAAACATACCTAGTTCATTTTTTTAAAATCATGGATACTTTTTTTTTTAATGGACTTGCGTACCCACCATTGTATATTTATTAAAAATGTTTGAACTGAAACTGTATTATACAAAATCTTGATTCTCATGTTCCCTTCTACAGAGAATAAACTGTATTTGAGCAGATTTATGCTAAAATACTTACAGATGTTTATTACCAAGAAGAGAAAAAGAAAATAATTGTTACTTGGAAAGGTCCTGATAATGCAAAATAATTTGGGCTGAAAGAAAAACTGTGAAGTTTAACAAAGCGTAGTTCCTGAAAATGTAGTTCTAAATAGGTTTAAGGCTTAATAAAAAATATTTCTAAATTAAAAACAGGAAGATTGTGTCCATTAATAATGTTATGTATTGGCACTTGAATACTTTTAAAGGCTAGTGAAGTTATTGTTACAGTTAAAGTTATTCATAGGGATTCTTCAAGACATTACAGTTTATCTTATAACTTACCATAGAAAATTCATAATAAACTACAAGCCATAAAATGTCTTAAACCTCTTGGAAAGCTTAGAATTACCTTTTATTTTTAAACAGGCCTTTAACAAGTACAAAAGGGAAGGATTTTGTCTCCAGAATGTTGACAAGGCACCTCTTGCAAAGAGAAGGAAAATGAAAAAAACGAGTACAAGCACAGAGACACGTAGCAGCTCCAGTGAAAGTTCACATTCTTCTTCCTCTCATTCTCATGGTAAAACTACACCTACAAAGACACTGCAGCCAACAAACCCCACAGACAGCAATAACCCAGAAACCATCTTCCAGTTCTCTGATTGAAAATCAGAGAATACCCTGTCTTGAAGATTTAAGTGGTCATAAACTTGGTAGTACCTATATTGTCTTCTCCCACCCAACCTCCCTGTGGCTTGCAGGCTACAGGAATGTGTCTGTCGCTTTAAAAGTATATTTCAATCATATCTTTTTAGCTTTGTATTTCAATACATTTCTTGTTAGCATTAAGTTTGGTATCACTGGATATAGTATAATACTATTATACAACCAACATTGTATTCTCTTAGGGCTAAATTACTATTGTGCAGTGAAGCTCAAGGTCAGGAGCTATGCTGCTCATGGTACATCTTGGAGGAAGTCTGTTTCTCAGTGTCAATCTTCCTCACAGTTTCTTCCCCAGTGTTCAAAGAGAGGAAAGCTCTGTAACATGTATAGAACTCTTGAAACTTCTGCTTTTACCCAGCTTTGTGAAGAATGTCATAGAATTTGATTCTTCATGCATGTAGAAAATCATTGGTACAATGCACCAAAGCAGTATTGTACTTTAAGGCCTTTTAAATTTGTGGTTACATTTTATCCCATTTATTTGAATTTTAAGAGCAAAATGAAGTTATGGAACTCTTACATTCTTTTAAGAACTCCGTACATCTTGTTTGGAACAACTGGGAATATAAGTCTTGGGGTTGGGTTTTTTTTTTTTTTTTGGTTTGGTTTGGTTTTTTTTTTCTTTGTTTTTTTGGGTTTTTTTTGTTTGTTTGTTTGTTTTTATTTAATTTTTTAAAAACATCTAGGGTAAAAGATGTCTGATAAGATGAGGTGTCTAGTACTGTGATACAACAATTTTTATTTCTACTTTTTGAAGTTACTAGCTTTTAAAATGTTTTACAGATTCTAAAATGTAATGCTGTAAGAGAAAGTGAAATTTCATACTGAATGCTTTGGAAAATGGTCACATGTTAAAATATCTATTTCAAGAATTAATTATAATTTATATTTTCTTTTTATATTTACACAACTTTAAAATACTAAGATTTTTTTTAAAGATGCAAAACTCCAGTCTCAGCATTTGTTATTCTAGGGTCCATACAATATGTATAACAAGTTATTGAATTTTGCATTGTGCAAATATGGCAGTTTAATAGTGACTGTAAAATATTAGAATATATGTTTTTTGCACTTTATGACATCAAAAGGAGATGTTTTATAATAAAGTGCACTCAGATCTCTCTTCCTACAAGGTGCTGAGCACTGTTTTACTGGGTTGAATGACCTGAAATCCACCGTATTCGGTGGTTGTGGTCATTGTGAAGGAGAATTCTGTACTTTGCAGGAGTGAATCCCTGTATATTACCCACTGTTTTCATTCCTTACTTTAAATTGCAAAGCTCTTTCTGCCTTGCTTTTACCTTGTATATAACAAATACTAGACCTGGGCACCTTGTGTAGTGTAGATGTTAACAACTTATGCACTGGGAATACTAAAGGGAAATTATATTGAACACTGTGCTTCACAACTTGTTCACTGTGGTGGTCCACAGTGAAATATTTCCTACTGTGATAGTATAGTATGTACATAACTGTTTGGAATCATAAATGTGACTTACAGAAACATCAGCATAAACTTTTAAATTGGTCTATTTTATAAATTTATGGAGAGCTCTTTTATTGCTCATATTCTCAATGGTTAGGGGTAACTTAAGTGCTAAAGATGACTCCAGTTTTGCAAATGCTTACATGTGTAAGTTTTCACTGAAGTCGGAAAGACTCCTTGACTAAAGTTAATCATATGCCTAAATTTGTGCGATGGAAGACTAATTGACTAGAGGATTTTGTTAACAGCTTGCTCTATTTTAAAGTAACCTTACTCCAAACCCTATGCAAAAAATGGTTATAGGAATTGTTTATATCCGTGGTTTTATTTATAAAATTATATCATATATCAGTATTGACAAATACAATACATCCATGTTTACGGGGATTGTGTGTATCAAAACAAGGCTTTGAAGCCCAACATGTTTGTTCTGTGTTTCTTTAATATTAATAATGGCATTCTGAGGTTTTGGAATTGCTCATGTGAAATAGTTTACTACTTTCTTGATGTGAATGTCAACAGTAATTGCAGCATTAATTTCAGGTTGATGTGAATATTGAGATTTGCACTGTTTATGTAGAATTAGTATATTTAAAGATCAGTATATGTGCTAATAACACAACCAGTTTTAAGTGGCTGATGTTAAAATATTGAAAAACAATTGTCATGTAATATATTCAGGTTTGCTTTCTGAATGCTCTCTTTGGAAGTAATCTAAATAATGAACATGGCTCATTTGTAAAAGAATACTTTTCCTCCCCCCAATAAACTTGCTGTAAATACAACAAACAATCCACCATTAATACTTGGTGTGCAGACAGTACAAGTGAATTGGGAGGTTGGAGAACAGGTTGCTTGTAAAGCTAGCACTTGAGGAGTTTATTTTTTGGTTTGATTTCATTTAAGTGTAAGAAATTTTTGGATTTAGAATACTGTGATCCAATTGAAATAACTTCTTAAAGTTAGGAACACAGTACAGTTGTTTCGCTGTTGCAAAATTTTAACTGTTGCTTGACAAACTGATGAAACAAGAAAAAGAATGCGTGCACAAGATACTAAATGCTACAGATAATGGCTGTATTGTCAGAGGGTTTTTTCACACAGGTTTTGAGAGATTTTTTGTAAGACTAGAATTATTAGAATGCATCACTTTGATAAAAGACAACTTTTATAGATGAGTATTTCTGTGTCCTCTATGTGCTTTAACAGTAGTTATTAAATAAAAATTTAAAAACAGGGCAATTCCTTTTGTCAGCGGTAAGTACATTTAGGTGTCACCTTGCATTGCTTTGAACCAGTTACCTGGGGTGGCTGAAGTGTTTATCACCTCCAACTTTCTACTGCCTCCAGGTAACAGAGCTCTGAAGGTGTGTTTGACACTAAGCTGTCTGAATTTTTAGATGAAAATCTTATCTAAGCAACTGAGTAAAGAGGTTTCCTTTTACATGGATAAAACTGTGTTGCAAACTAGGCAGCTCAAGAACAGGTTCACTTTTTGTTCAGATGAACAGTCTCCCTGCAGGAAACTAGTTACTCATGGTGAAACAATGTCTCAGCTTACTCTGTTGTCCAGCCTGGCTGTCTTAGGTCATCTAAAGACCATGGGCTAATTTTTTCATACTCGTACCACTGTTTCAAATCTGAGGTGCACAAGCCAATCTTCCTTAGTACTATAAATACTTCATGTTGAGTCAGTAAAGAGCTGTTAGACTCTATTAAGTTTATATACTCAGATTAGGTTTCCTTCACACTGCTGCTATGCGTCGATTGACTTTAATGTCTAGTACTGGTATCTCTCTACTGTGAGAAATTAATGCAGGCTGCAATAATGTGGGCAGTTTTGTTGGAAAAATCAAATTTCTTGTCAGTAAAGATTTAAATAACTGGTTATTAATCTAATCTTTAAAATAAATATTCTGTAAAGCTATTTATTCGTAATAGTTTCAGAAACAAATGTTGGTAATCAAGAGGTAATTCTGCTAAAGGATTTAGAGGAGTACAAAGGAAGTAATATGACTGACTTACTGTTCCTCTGCCTTAGTGAAATTTCTATGCTTTTATGTAAGGAAAAGCAGCTGAAAAATTTATTGTTTCTTAATAGGAGGATCAGTGTATTTGGCATATGGGTTGTTAGCAGCTAAGAAAGAAACTTTATTAAAATGCCTTATTAAACAGGTTTTTTGGGGTAACACAAAAATACAGTATTTCATCAGAATGGAATTGAGGCTTCAAGCTGGCATTCTTCATATATTTTCTTAGTGATTTTCCATGGCTACTTTTCTGAACAAGGTAGCAATACCTGCACAGCAATGTTCCCTAGCATTCATCCAGGAACAGAATAGTTCTTGGCAGAAACTATTCATAGGATGATGATACATGTTTATTGGTTGTGGTAAAGTGTTGCACAGGTATCTTGTGTTTTTAGTATGTGCATGTATTATGTGTATATATATAGATAAATGCCCTATTGCATGTCTAGGCTCAATTTAAAGTAATACACCTTGTTTAAGAGAACCTGTACTTAAAAATGAGTTCTTGACTCACAGATTCAAAGGACCAGACAAGGGGACAGCCACGGAAGAGGAAGAAGGTTTTGGGAAGTTAGAGATGAGAGGCTTCTGGGAAGATGTTTTCAGGGATAAATTTCTCCCCTCTCTATCTCCATGTGCAAGTGTCTACCCCAGCCAAAACCAGCACAGCATGGAATATTTGCCGATGCTGAATTGCAAGCTTTCTTGCTGGTTACCCAGCATAAACACATTTCCTAGCTCTGCAGGTCTGTGAGTATATGTGTGTGTATGTCTACACACGTGTGTGTGTCTTTATATGTCATTTTGGTCTTCAGTTGGAATTTTTTATTATTTTTCAAGTATTGTTCCAGATGCTTTTGCCAAGTTGGTGGTCCTCATTCTTTCCTTGCAAATATGACAGTCTTTCTCAACACCAATAGTTACATTGCAAAACATGACATTTCCTTCCTTCAGTCAAGATAGTTGAGTGAATATTCTGGACTGAGAGACCAGGAAGTAACATTTCTGCTGTTTCTGCTGTAAAAAGATAAAAGTGCTTTGATCTTTCTCTACCCATGAGAAATATTTCTCAGTTTGCTCCTTTGACATGGAGGGGCCTGGATTCCATAAATAATGAGAAACGCAGAGCTGTTTGCTAGCTCTCACCTGCCATCCTTCTTCAGTAGATTCTGGATGTTCAGAATACCTGTGTAACATAGGATGACTCCTGTGGTCTGCACTAGTAAATAAAGTGATGCCTTCAGTTACATAGACCAGCTCGAGCAGTCTTGTTGTTTGTGCCCAGAAGCAGCAACAACAGAGAAATATAAGACACCTACAATAATGTAAATTTGAAGAAAACCCATGTATTTCGACAACCTTTGTGTTCTGTGTGATATGAGGGGTAGTCTGCAACTGCCTGGAAATCCCTGGTAAGTTTTTAGGTAGATGAGATGGCACAGGCTGCTCTGACAGCTTCCCATCACCCACAAGCCATTCCAGATCCTTTCTGCTGATAGGTGCTCTACACTTTCCTTGGTTCTGGTGTTTGTAGCCACCTCTCAGCCAGCAGAGGTGGGGAAGTAAGTGTTCTATTAACTTAGTTAAGGCATTTTGGTTAACACTGGATTAATTTATTTCATAGTTAATCCAAAGTAAAAGTAGTAATGAAGCATTCTTGCAGAAGTCTGCTAACTTATTTTGAAATGCCAACAATAAAGCTGAGAAAAACAGAGAGCTCTTTAATTGCTATATCCTTGCTGCTTTTATGTTCAAGTGTTAGTACTGTTCTACTTGGACTGACATGATGGTACATACTATCCATATGCAGCCTTGGCAGGTCATCTAGTTCAATTTTAAAGTTGTCAGATTTAAAGGAAAACTGGAGATCACCAGCAAAGTGAGAACAGGCCTTTAATCTTAACCTACATCTGGATTACAAAAATAATAAAGGGTTGGCATTGGCTTTCAACCTTTACAGTCTTATCATTAAGATGCTACTTCAGCAAATTTTGATGCT